TCACTCTTACTTCTATTCTAGCTGTCGGGTCGTAAATCTGGTTTCTGGCGGCCGTTCGGGACGCTCCGGGCACCCCCAGAGCGCTCTCGGCGAGGCGCCGCTGCTGGATCGCACCCCGAGGCAGCAAAGCCTCCAAAGAACATACGAAAACGTCAGAGAACATCTGGTCGAGGCGCGCCCGGCCTCCCAGAAGCTGCGCACCCGAAGCCACTCTCTGGCGAAGGGCCACGCTGACGCGCAGCCCACACGTCGCTCTCGGAGGGGAGCGGCCGAGCGCGGCACCGAAGCCGCCGGTGGCGCCCATGGCGCGGCAGCCGCGCAGGGCCACGTCCACATCGCAGAGCCTGCCGACCTGGCGAGGGCGCGCTCCCAAAGAGGGGCCGAACCTCCTCCGTCCTCATCCGCCCCCGTCCTCTGGCCTTTGAGGCGCCGCGGGCATTGGAATGCAGAAGGATGCAGCTACCCCCCCCACACCCCCACCAGCGGCGATTGCCGCCGAGGGGGGCTGATCCAACTCATGGAGCTGCACAAGAGTCAACGAGGACCACGATGAGCATGTGGGGGACCCCCCCGGGGGGCGGAGTAACTATGCCTTCCGCTACCCTGAGTGGGGGAGGAGAATCCTCCCCATCGTCTCCCTCCTCCTCCTCCTCCTCCTCCTCCTCCTCCTCCTCCTCCACCTCCTCCTCCACCTCCTCCTCCTCCTCACCCTCCCCCTCCTCCTCCTCCTCCTCCTCCTCTTCCTCCTCCTCCTCCTCCTCCTCCTCCTCCTCCTCCTCCTCCTCCTCCTCCGCCTCCTCCTCCTCCTCCTCCTCCTCCTTCACGCCGGGCGTTTTCGACAGATTTCGGTCACAGGGGTCCGCGCAGATCGATCCGGTTCGAGAAGTGCCGCGAAAAGATGAAGTCTAATGCTCTGGTCACGATATCCCACGGTGCGACATTTGTGTCGCGGCGTCGGATCTAAGTGTCCTGACCGAAGGCGGCCCAAACGATCCATGCTTTGCGCGTCCCTCCTCCTCCCTCCCCCCTTCACCTCCGAGAACACCTTCGCCCCCCTCGCTCCCCAACCCCGATCGTCCTCCATGCTTCTCTTCCACCACCACCAACACCTCTTCCCCCCTCATCCACGATTTTCCTCCATTCGCTCTCACCACTCCCCGCATCTCTGACAGTCATCCTGTGCGAGCCAGACAGATGCTTGCAGCATCCACTACGCGCAAGCCGCAAGCGGTGCATCCTCGCACGGCTCCTAGGCAGGCAGGTCGAAGTGTCAGACAAGTGAGGAGTCCAGAACACGTCGCGCTGGCCAGCTATGTATAGTTATGCGACCTCGTCGTCGCCTACTGAAAACCAGCTGGTCGAATACCAGTGCACCATGGAAGCTCAACCCAGTTCTAAACGAAAGTGCTACTGCAACCGATGTCAGCGCAACAGAGAAAACCTCTCGAACGACTGCTTGAAGGACGCATCAGGATCAACACCGAACCAGAAACCTTCTGGGCTCATGGATACCCCACCCGCTGGTTGGCCCACCACAAACGCCCACGGCAACAATAACCTGCCCCAGAAAATACAAAGCTGGGGCAATCCCCCAAAGATGGCCCACCCCCCTCTGTGGCAACTCATGGGAGCCTCCCGCGTCATCCTGCTGGCTCTTGCGAAGAAGCTGCGCGGACCGACGCTGATCGGCGCTGGTGGACGTGGTATCGACGCTGATCGACGCTGAATCGGCGCTTTCTCATCGACTACCAGACGCTAGCGCACGCGAATGCACTCTAAAAACTGAACTTCGAGGACATGCAAAGGCTCCTACGAGTTGCTGCCGAGCCCCTCCACCCAGAGGAACCGCCCCGGCCTTCTCGCGCACGCCGGCGTCGGCCACGAGCGAGAGGTCCTCCGTGCTGTCGCCGAGTGCTGCCCGGCGAGCTGCTGCGACCCCCACGAGCGCAGCAATGAGTGCAGGCACGAGGGCCCCTGCGGATGCGGGGCGCCCTCGCCCACCCACCCCACGCCTGCCAACCCGGCCCGTGTCCCTCTGCTCGCCCTCGTCGCATGTCGCGGGGGAGGGGAGAGGGTCGAAGAGCGGGGAGGGGAGGGGAGAGGATAAAACAGGCTGCCACGATGTTCGCAGGTGGGGGCGTGGCACACTGTATAGAAATATACACACATATATGTGTACATATAAGTTATTCGCCGGCCCAACGGGCCAGGGCGTGCTAAGATCTCCGGTACCTGGTTAACAGTATTTCTAGTTCGCGCGCGCGGGGCGGCCCCTGGGGGTCCCCGGACGAAAAGTACCCTGGCAAGGTCCCGGCAAGTCCCCGGCAAGGTCCCGGCAAGTCCCCGGCAAGGTCCCGGCAAGTCCCCGGCAAGGTCCCGGCAAGGTCGGGCCAGAGATGCCGGAGCCCTGTTACAGGGCCCCAGGACGGGCCAAGAGGTCCCCAAGAAGCCCCCAAGACGGTCCAAGAGGGCCCCGAGACGGCCAAAGATCGCCCGAAGACGCCCAACAGGGCCCCAAGACAGCCCAAGAGGCCTCCAAGACGCCCCAAGGGCCTTCCAAGAGGCCTCCGAAAAGGGCCCCAAGAGGCCAAAATCGTTGATTTTCATTGTTTTTTTCGATGTTGTTTGCGTTCTTGCTTTTTCGGCTTCCGGACGCTCCAAGACGGCCCAAGAGGCCCCCAAGACCGCTCCAAGACGGCCCACGAGGCTCCCAAGACGGCCCCGGAACGGCCCAGGAGGGCCCCCAAGACGGCCCAAGTGCCGCCCAAGACGGACCAAAAGGCCCCAAGACGGGCCCAAGAGGGGCTCAAGAGGAGAACCGAGAACTGAAAAATCGAGCCCTCCGCCCCAGAAGGCGCCCAGGAGGCCCCAAAAAGGCCCCAAGAGGCCCCCAAGAGGCCCCCAAGACGCCCCAAGAGGCGCCCAAGAGGCCCAAAAGAGGCCCCAAGAGGCCCAAAAACGGCCCCCAAGAGGCCCCAAAACTCGGCTAGCCCACAACGGTGCGACAATATGGGCCGGCGGAATGAGCGAAGCGATTAAATAATGTATTAATATTATGTGTATATATACATATATAGATATATAGATATATATATATATATATATATATATAACACAATAGATGTGTCCTGCTCCTCATGCAAGCTCTACTCCTCCTTCTCCTCCTCCTCCTCCTCATGATCCTTCTCCTCCTCCTCGCCTTTCTCTCCCTTCGCTCTGTTCCTTTGATCCTACTCCCCAAACTCCTCCCTTCCTCCCTCCCTCTCCCTCCCTCCCTCCCTCCCTCTTCCTGCTCCTCTTCCTCCTGCTCCTCCTCCTCCTCCGCCTCCTCTTCCTCCTCCATTCTTTTTCCTTGAACTATTTTCCCCCTGTCGCACCCCGAGGCCTGTACTTACGGCGGGCCGGGCGTTTCGCCTGATAGGTCCTCACCATTTACGGCTGGGAACTTTAAAAATTGACAACAGCTTCACAGATACATGGTGGGTCTCTTTCAAAATGTGGTTTTCGCATTGGCGCCGCGCACTTTCGCGTAAAAACCTGCAATAACTCCACGGATGGAAAGCGGGTGGTTGTCACAAGGTGGCTCTCGCCGTAGCGCCGCGCACATTCGTTTCCAAAACTTGCAAGAGCTTCACGGATTGAGGGCGGCTCCTTTTCAAAATGTTGCTCTCGCCGTTGCGCCGCGTACTCCTGCTGTAACAAATTTCAAGAATATCACGGGTTCCCATGATCGACGTACCAGAAATGGTGTTTTGGCAGGGTTCACGATGATGGGGACGCAACAGTTACGATGATTCTATGAGTGCGACCCGCACTGCGCACCCTGTAGGTGCCGCGGGTTGGGCCGGGGCCGAAGCACCAATTACAGATTGAAGTGCCTGACAGAAATATTGCTTTAGATCGTTCCATGCATCTCGCGTGGCAAACCTCAGGAGTAGATGAACAGCATCTCGCGCTTCAGGAATGAAGCCCCAGGAATGGCGTTCGGACGCGATTCCGGATCGTCAAGACGCAACAGTCAAGTTGATCCGTAGCGTTGAAACCCGAGAACAATGTCTTGGCATGCTTCAGGGTCTTCAAACGGTTGTCTTCTAACGACACATGCCCCTGTGGAAATGAACCGTTGTAGGGGCCTATGAAGAGGGAGCTTCGGGGGGAGGTTTATTCCAACATCGTTGGTGGCTCTTGGGTTTGCACTGGTCCACCTCCTCCTCTTCCTCCTCCTCCTCATCCTCCTCCTCCTGCTCCTCCCCCTCCTCCTCTTCCTGCGGAGAACATTCGTTTTCAAAATTAGAAAGAGTTTCACGAATTAAGGGCGGGTGTTTTCCAAAATGCGGCTCTCGCCTTAGCGCGGCGAATACTCGTTGCAAAAAATTGCAAGAACTTCACGAATTGAGTGCGGGTGATTTTCAAAATGTGGCTCTCGCCTTAGCGTCGCGCTCACACGCTGTAATCAATTGCAAGAGTGTCACTGATTGTGGGCGGGTGGTTTTCAAAACGTGGCTCCCGCCTTAGCGGGGCGCACATTCGTCTTCAAAAGTTGCAAGAGCTTCACGGATTGAGGGCGGCTCGTTTTCGAAATGTGGCTCTCGCCTTAGCGCGGCGCCAATGCGTTGCAAAACGTAAGAGTTTCACGGATTCCCATCGTCAACGTGTCAAAAAAGCGCGTTTCACTGGCGCTAGCCTTGGGAACAGTCGGCGGCGCGTTTCGAACCGGGTGGTGGGCCCCCCCCCCAACACTCGCCGCCATCGATCAAAACCAGGGAGGGGCCTTCCCAAAACCCCCCGCTTCCCGAACCCCCCCCCCCCCCCACGGGGGTTCAAAACCCCGCCCCCCCCCCCCCTCGGCGCCAGCGCTGGCGCCGGCGCTGGCGGCCGCCAGCAGCGCCGACGGCGGGGACGCAGCGACGATGACCAGAGGCAGCCCAACGGGGACGGGGGGGGTTCAAACACCCCCCCCCTCTGGCGCCGGCGCCGGAGCCGGCGCTGGCGGCGGCCAGCAGCGCCGGCGCTGGCGCCGGCGACGGCGGGGACGTAGCGACGATTATCACCAGTACCCCCACAGGCGCAGGCGCCGGCCCACCTCGTGACCACCCTGTGCTGCAAGATCCAATCTTCTAGCCTCCGTCGTTACAGTCGTGCAGTTGGAGAGTCATGCCCGTGAAGGGCGCCAGTGTTTCCACGTCCCAGCGGAACGATCCAGTCGCCGTTGTGTCGTGCACCCACCCCAGTAGGGGCACCAGTGGGACGGGGGATGAAGGCTCTGGTCGCTGGCCAGAGCCAGCTCGCAGCAGTCCTCACCGCGGAGGCAGCGACACTGACTAGGCGTTCTGTGGCCCGCTCCTTTTTTGTTTAATTGGGAGGTGGAGTTGGGGTGTGGGTCCTGTGCTGGGGTTGCCCCGGGACAGTTCCCGCCCCGCCCTGCCCTGGCGGTGCTAGGCAGGTCTCCACGTGTTGTGCATCTCTTGCCGTCCAGGGTGTTTATCCATGGGCGATATCGCTCCATAGGCGATATCGCCCTTCCCTCACCGCGGGGGCTGCGGCACTGATTAGGCATTTAGGAGCCTGCTCCCTATTTGTCGGGCTTGGCATTTAGGAGCAGGCTCCCTATTTGTCTGACGTAGGGGGGGGTGGCGTGGGTTGGGTCCTGTGCTGGGGTTGCCCCGAGTCAGCACCCGCCTCGCCCTGCCCTGGCGGTGCCAGGCAGGCCCTCACTTGTGTTTCTCCTTGTGCCCTGTGGGCTTGTCGGCAGCTGTGCACTGCTGCGTCTGGCGATCATCGTCGGACGTCCTTTTGTTCAAGGTGGGTACTCATAGTGCGTGCCCTCCATCTTTTCTTTCTGTGGGCCTCTGGTTGAAATGTCAGACACTGCCGAAGGTGAGGTGGGCCTCTGGCCGCTCTCCCTGGTGTGATTTCTCGCCAGGGCAAGGTGAGTGTGAAAGAATCCCCCCCTCCTCCACCTTCTCCTCCTTCATCGCCTCCTTCTCCTCTTCCTCCTCATTTTCACCTCGTCCTCCTCCTCCTCCTCCTCCTCCTCCTCCTCCTCCTCCTCCTCCTCCTCCACCTCCTCCTACTCCCCCTCCTCCTCCTCCGGGTCCTCCTCCTCCTCCTCATCCTCCTCCTTGTTCTCCTCCTCCTCCTCCTCCTCCTCCTCCTCCTCCTCCTCCTCCTCCTCCTCCTCTCCTCCTCCTCATCATCATCATCATCATCATCATCATCATCATCATCATCATCATCATCATCAGCATAATCATCATCATCACATCATCATCATCATCATCATCATCATCATCATCATCATCATCATCATCATCATCATCATCATCATCATCACATCATCATCATCACATCATCATCATCATCATCATCATCATCATCATCATCATCATCATCATCATCATCATCTCATCATCAATCATCATCAATCAATCAATCAATCATCATGATCATCAATCATCATCATCATCATCATCATCATCATCATCATCAGCATCATCATCAGCATCAGCATCAGCATCAGCATCAGCACAAGCACCAGCACCAGCACCAGCACCAACATCATCATCATCATCATCATCATCCTCATCCTCATCCTCATCCTCATCATCATCAGCAGCATAATCATCATCATCATCATCATCATCATCATCATCATCATCATCATCATCATCATCATCATCATCATCATCATCTCCATCAACATCACCATCACCATCCCTATCATCATCAACAGCATCAGCATCAGTATCAGAATCAGCATCAGCAGCATCATCATCATCATCATCATCATCATCATCATCATCATCATCATCATCGGCAGCAGCAGCATCATCGTAACCATCATCATCAGCAGCAGCATCATCGTCAGCATCAGCATCACCACCATCACCATCAGCATCATGTGAATCATCATAATCAGCATCATCATAATCATCATCGTCATCAGTATCATCATCAGCAGCATCATCACCATCATCATACTCATCAGTATTAGCAGCATCATCATCATCAGCAGCAGCATCATCAGCAGCATTATATTTCCGTTACCAGCATCATCATCATCCTAATCAGCAGCATCATCATAATCAGCATAATCAACGTAATCAGCATCATCATCAGCAACAGCAGCATCTGCAGCATCATCATCGGCATCAGCAGCATCAGCATCATGATGACCACCATCAGCAGCAGCATCAGCATCAGCATCAGCATCAGCAGCAGCATCAGTAGAATCATCGTCAGCATCATCCGCAGCAGCATCGTCGTCAGCATCAGCAGCATCATCATCAGCAGCAGCATCAGCATCAGCATCACCACCACCACAACCATCATCAGCATCATCATCATCAGCAGCATCAGCATCAGCATCATCAGCATCAGCGTCATTACCATAACCAGCATCATCATCATCATCATCATCATCATCATCATCATCAACAGCACCAGCATCAGCATCATCATCATCACAATCATCATCATCATCATCAGCAGCAGCATAATCAGCATCAGCATCAGCATCATAATCATCATCAGCAGCAGCAGCACCAGCATCAGCATCAGCATCATCATCATCATCAGCGTCAGCAGCATCAGCATCAGCATCAGAATCAGCATCAGCATCACCGGTGGCATCGACATAAACGTCAGCATCATCGATAGCATCATTATCATCAACGTACTTGTCCTCGCCATCATCATCATCATCATCATCATCAGCAGCAGCATCATCATCATCAACCCCACCATCATCATCAGCAGCATCATCATGAGCAACAGCATCGTTGATGGCATCCGCATCCAGATCCTCGTCCACGTTCTCATCCCCAGCATCCCCGCGATCATCAATACTAGCGCCATCACTAGCAGCAGCATCATCATTGGCATTGCCAGCATCGCCACCATCATCAGCAGCAGCAGCAGCATCAGCATCATCATCTCACTAGCAGCAGCATCAGCATCAGCGCCATTATCAGAATCATCATCAGCAGCAGCATCATCACGATCCAATACTTGCACTCCTCTTTCTCCTGGCTATCCACTCTGCGCCCCCCCCCCCCGGGAGCCCGCGCTTCCCTGGCCCCGCGGGCCTGCTCCCGGTCCCGAGCGCAGGAGCGGCGGCGCACGCACATGGAAAGCCATATTTAGCGAATGAGCTGAGGGGGGCGAAAACCTTGGGCGCGCGCCTCCGATCGGGCTTCGAGCGGCTTCGCGCCTCTCCTCCTCCTCCTCCTCCTCCTCCTCCTCCTCCTCCTCCTCCTCCTCCTCCTCCTCCTCCCTCCTCCTCCTCCTCCTCCCCCGCCTCCTCCTCCTCCTCCTCCCTCCTCCTCCTCCTCCACCTGCTCCTCCTCCTCCCTCCTCCTCCTCCTCCCTCCTCCTCCTCCTCCTCCTCCTCCTCCTCCTCCTCCCCCTCCCCCTCTCCTCCCTCCCTCCCTCCATCTCCCTCTCCTCCCTCCTCCTCCTCCTCCTCCTCCTCTCCTCCTCCTCCTTGTCCTCCTCATCCTTGTCCTCCCCTCTTCTCCTCCCCCTCCTCTGCCTCTCCTCCTCCTCCTCCCCCTCCTCCTCCTCCTCCTCCTCCTCCTCCTCCTCCTCCTCCTCCTCCTCCTCCTCCTCCTCCTCCTCCTCCTCCTCCTTATTATCCTCCTCCTCCATTCCCTCCTCCTCCTCCTTATCATTTTTCCTCATCCTCCTCCTCCTCCTCTTCCTCCTGCACCTCCTTCTCATCCTCCTCCTCCTCATCCTCCTCCTCCTCCCCCTCCTCCTCCACCCATCTTCCGCATAGAGAGCTCCTCCTCGTCGCACCACGGGTAGGGCGGCCCTGGCGTTTCGGCAGAGGCTTCTTCGAAACCTGTTGCCCTGGAGCTTGAAACTTCCAGCAGCTCCACGGATAGAGGGAACGCTGGTTTCACAATGCAGCTCTCGCCGTTGCGCCGCGCACATTGTCATTAAGAGCTGTCAGCACTCACATGGATGGAGGGCGGCGCGTCCTCAAAATACAACTCTCTCCTTCGCACCGCGCACAGTCGTCTTCCAGCCAGCGGATACACGCATGGAGAGCATGTCGTGGTCAGAATAGTACGCTCGCCTTTCTCAGCGTACATTGTCTTAAAAGGCTCCGGCTAAACGGATTGAGGGCGAATCGTGTTCAACATGGGGCTGTCGCGTTCGCAGCATGCACGTGCGTTGTCAAAGCTTCCAGCACTTCCACGAACGGAAGGGCTCGTTTCAAAATAGGACTCTCGCCTTCCACAGCGCAGCGTGCACCCTTCGCAGAGGCCTCAAACAGCTACACGAACGCAGGCTTCAAAATTAGGCTCTCGCTCAAGACTTTATGCATGGCAGCTCATTCTCAAAATTGGGACGATTGAGGCCGTCTAAGTAATATGATCAGGTGACCAAGAAATCGCAACACTCACACGAATAGGAAGCGGTTCACTCTTCATTGTGCGGTTGTCGCTGGACAATTTATGGATGGAACTTCATTCTCATGCATAGTGGCACTTCTTATAGCTAGAGATGTCGCTCGGATGGCACACCCATGAGGCGCTCGCCTTTTTCAGGGGACGCCTGTCGTGTAAAAGGCATTGTCTGTACGGGAATCAGAAGAAGGGGACTAAGGAGATCGTTGAAGAATCGAGGGTTTACTCTGGTCACCTCCTCCCTCCTCCTCCTCCTCCTCCTCCTCCTCCTCCTCCTCCTCCTCCTCCTCCTCCTCCTCCTCCTCCTTATCCCCAGTCCACCTCCGCCATCCTCAGTCTCCCTCCCAACTCCCTCACTCCTCCCTCCTCATCGTCCCCACTCCCCGCTCATCCCTCCTCACGCCTCACTCCGCCTCCCGTCTCCGCCCCCCCACCCCCCTCTCCCTGCTCCATCCTCCCTTCCCCCCCTCCCTCCCCCTCCCCCGCCAGAAGTCGGAAAGCGACGTCAAAATAGCGCGTCCTTGTCCGCCCCGCGTCTCCGTACCGCGGGGCGGGGAAGGGGATGGGGGGGAGGGGGAGGTCACAGCCCCACGATTCCTTCGTCCAGTTATGCTCGCCTTCGGCGTGGCATGGCGGCACGCCGACCCCGATGAGTTTTGGATACCGCGGACGGCCGTCCGAAACCGTGTGACGTCTCTTCCTCCCTCCTCCCCGAAACTCCGACGTCGCCCTTTTTCCCGACGTCGGGGACCCCCGGAGTTCTAGACCCCTTCCCCTGGACCCGTTCTTCGTCCCAAGTTGGTTTGACGGTCCCAGGGCCCAGCAGTGGCCCCCGGAGGCCAAAAATCGCCCCAAAACGCTTACGTCGTGATTTTTGACACCGGTCCATCCTCCCTTCCGCCTCCTCCTCTTCCTCCTCCTCCTCCTCCTCCTCCTCCTCCCCTCCTCCTCCTCTCCTCCTCCTCCTCCTCCTCCTCCTCCATCCCCCTCCCGCCCTCCTCCCTCCTCCCTCCTCCCTCATCCTCCCTCCTCCTCCTCCCTCCTCCCTCCTCCCTCCTCCCTCCTCCCGACCAAGATCGCCGACCGCGCGGACCGAGGTACGGCTCTCGACAGCGAGTCCCCACGCTCCTGGGCGCGACCACGACGACGCCGACGACGACGACAACGACGATGACGACGACGACGACGATGACGACGACGACGACGACGACCACACCAACAACGACGCCGACGACGACGACCACGCCGACGACGCCGACGCCGACGCCGACGCCGACGCCGACGCCGACGCCGACGCCGACGCCGACGCCGACGCCGACGACGACGACCACGCCGACGACGCCGACGCCGACGCCGACGCCGACGCCGACGCCGACGCCGACGCCGACGCCGACGCCGACGACGACGACGACGACGACGACGACGAGGCGAGCCCTCCGCGCTTGTTCTCCATTGTCGGGATGTTGTCTTCTCCGTTCCGCAACGGAACGATAGGAGGGACTGGCTCAGGGGGGAAAACATCGAACAGGAAGCGGCGACGCATCGCTCACGGATCGGCGATGGGCCCCTCGTGGCCAGACCGCCTCTTCTCGTGGGCGGGGTGGGCTGTCGGGCCCCCATCGGCGATCAATGGGCCACTGGGTGTCGGTGCCTCCCCGCTCGGCAGCGGCCAAGAGGGGGGCGTCCAAGAGGGGGGGGTGCAGATCATGACCGGCGGCATGTGCGCGGCCCAGCGGGGGGGCGAGGGACGTAACGAAACAAGAAGGAGCGCCATGGAATCTGGGGAAACATCATGCCCCCCGCCGTGATATCCACCCCCCCCCCTAGTCATTCACCCCCCTCTTTGCCGCCCCCGAGGAAGAGGAGGCGTCCCTCGCTCACCTCCGCGGGGGGGCCTCCGCCGGCCCGGGGCAGACCCTGAGCCTGGCGGTGGGCCCTCGCTCGGCGGCCGCGGATCGGGGCACGGCTGAGGCGCCCGCTCGGTTCGGGAGAACCCCGCCCGCCAAGGGATGCTTGAGCACTGCTGGGGGTCGGCGCGAGGGGATGAGGGAGGAGGGGAGGAAGGAGAGCGCAGACTCTAGGG